CAATTATTTTATGTGTGTCAAATGTTAACCATTCATTATTATCAAATGGACCCTAGCTATTGTTACAATGTCACAAACTTGTACAGATAAAATCACTTAAGGTTTACTGTGTCATAACTGTAAAGCTATCTTACAATGCGTTTAATGCCTGTGAAAAATGTTTCCAAATGATAAGAAGTTGAACCTGGGTGTATATAAAACTTTATTTACTTTATAGAAAGATATGACATAAACATAAAGAAAGGATAACACCCATTAAGAAAACGTGCGGACAGTCAAAACTATATGATTCATTTTACAATGTTCCATTTACTTATAATACATGTAATTTTCACAAGATTTTTTTTATAAGGAGGAAACTTTTAACGAAACTGCTACGTGCAAAGACAAGACTTGCCCAACTGCACTCACTAACTCACTCACTCACTCACTCATTCGCTCACTCACTCACTCACTCACTCACCACTGTACTTACTGCTTAACACAGAGTTTTATGAATATTCAAGAATCATGATTTTAAAAGCGGTACGACTCAGTGTCAGTATAACCATTATGCATGCACATACCGGTATTCCAGTACTAACTTTTTTACTAATAAACTTACTGTACATGTCCAAAAAGGTGTTTGTTCTACTTTGTTTTCACAATTGGCAAACAAATGAAAAGGGGTATTGAAACTACTTCCAGGGCAACAATTTTCCCCAGTAACATCACAATTGCATTCCTATAAAATGCATTAACTGTGGCTGTTGGTTTACCTGTATCACTGTCTATGGCATATTTTACAATTCTTTCATACAAAGCGTTCATTGATGTCGATCTCGTTCAGTAAGCAGACAATACTAGTACCTACATTTACTGGCATGAACACTCACCTGTTTGAGATATTAAATCAGGCGTATAAATGGCTTCACATGTTTAGGTTAGGTGAATGTAGAGCTGAACAGTGGTTGTTTTGTCATGATATGACGTCACAGACGATTGTCTTACCAAATCAGGATTGAAAAGAATGCAGTAAAAGAGCGCTATTTGTTATAAATAACTCTTGAAACTTAAATAATCGTCGAAATATATTAAGTGAAAACTAATTGGTCCATGGTAGGGCAAAGGAATGGTTTACAGCTAGCGTGCCTCTCCTTAGCATATAACTTTTTTCTAATTTAAAAAAATCTTCTAACTAAATGCATGTATTTAAAGTTTTCATTACACATTTTGAAATTACTGAGCTGACAAGCATGGTAATCAGTGGATGGCTGAGACACTTAAATCCATAATGTGTTAAGTTAAAAGTGCATACTTTTTTGGCAAATTTTGATGTTTAAACTTCTCTGATATGCCATGTTTTTATTGAAAAGATATAGTGTCCCAAATGTATTTGAGTTACATTGGTGTTCGAAATACATGTAGTGTCCAAAAAGGTTAGAATTCACAAAGAAGTGTACAAAGGAGTTTTTAGTCACATGAGTGTCCCATTGGATAAAAGTCATAGAAGTATCTGCAAGGGTTTTAAGTCACAAAAAAAACTTAGTGTCCCCAATTTAAGTGCAAGCGTTTAAAGTCGTACAAGCATCCGCAATGGTTGAGGACTACTTCAAGCGATCTTATGCTTCTTTTTTTATAAATCGAGTTTATCACTTACCATTTCGACAGCTCTTTGTTCACAATATTCCAAACAATGGTAAACACTGACTCAACTTTATTTTACAGTTAAACTTAATCGAAATTAAAATAGCCACAAATGCGATAATTCACACGCATGTAAAAGTGATCAAATGTTTCACAGGAAAAACCATCGTGACAAATTCTCACTAGAATATACCAATTTCTCAATGTTGGGGGAATCGATTCTTAGCATTTGTGCACACTGAATAACCCAGTCGTTTTTACAGAGCACAGACAGATCAAAATGACATTTTATTGAACGCGAATTATACATCCTGATATTGAATGAATGACGGATATATATAAAGTAATGATTTATGATGAGTAAATAAAATTGATTTATAATTTGAGGTAATTCAAGATCAATTCATTTTGTGGTTATGCTTGCTTCAGTGCAACTCTCAGGAGATGACTCCTTTAATAGGATGTTAAGTTATCATTGATGAAATAAAACACGATTTTTTTCAACTTATTTTTTTGACGTTCTAATACATACTTGTAACCAGTAATAGTATGCGCCTTCCTCTCTTTATTGCCCGTTGCACCCCACTCCTGTTATTCGATCTTTGTTGGACCTGCGCTTAATATGTTTAGTATCCATTGCTAAGTGCTCGATACGTGTTGTTGTGTAGGTTGTGATCTATGAATGTTGCTCTCTCTTTTTTTTGTATTTACTTTGATTTTTTTCTTTTAGTTTTCACATCTTAATAAAATGTTTACTCACAAAATGTTCTAACGCTTGTTTAAATGGGTTTAGTTACGATTTCGCGCTGCCGTTGCGTTTTCTTTCATGAAACATCATTTATCATATTATGTACTTTGGTGGTATTCTTACGGCAATTACTTTTTGCCGCATTTCAAAGAACCAAGACATGCCTTTATACCGTTCAAAAACAGCAGCACTGAAATGTCGCTTTGTAATAATATTATTATTTCTGACAATTCGAATATCACAATGTCTGCCGCTAATGTTTTGTAAGGTTCCAAATTGGTTAAGTTAGTGCTTCAGTCTGTAAAATTATCACTCACAATGTACAATATTGATAAGAGTATATTGGTTCCGAAGCACTCACATGAGAGCAGAATGGTATAACGTTCTCTATGGTTATGAGTTAGAAAAGATTTAAATGCTAAAGGCAACTGCCATCTTCACCTCTGACCAACTGACCTAAAATTAATAGGGGTCATCTACTCGTCAGAGAAGACTAAAATGTTTTACTGTATACATATAGGGAAAACCTATGTTCTCTGCGATAGGACTATTTTGACCCAAGCCAATAAATTTAGGAAACTTGATAGAGATCCTCATGCCAAATATCTAAGCTGTTGCTTGAAGAAGACTTTAGTGTTTGAACACATTTATTTATGTTTTAAACACTTTTTGGTAGAGATCCATAAGATGATGTTTCACGCCAGATATATTAACCCTAGCTCTTTGGGTTTCAGAAAAGATTAATTTTGTGTTTAACTTTTTCAGAAAAGATTTATTTTGATTTTAACTTTAAACATGCAAGGAAAACTAGGGGCGTGTTTAAACCATTTTAGTAGAGGACCTCCATGATGATCTTTACCATATGGGTTTTGTACTCTTTAACAAAAAGAATTTATTATTTCATGTATTTTTAAATTCCCTTATTTTTATTTATTTTTTATTTTTTGCATGCATGTAACCGACCGGGACCATTTAAACAACTTTAATGGGGGAACAATCATGGACGCAGTGGGCACAATAGCTCACCATGAGCACGCTGTGTTCCGGTCAGCTAAAAAGGATATAACTAAGCACAGTTTCACAGTTATTTTCATTTCTAGAGCACACATTTCAGAATTTCTCTAAAATACACTTTCAGGTTTATGTTTAGAACATGTTGTAATACGTTATCATTTATCAGAAAAAATTTCAAACATTCCAAGGAAACTAAAATAGGTTGGTTGTTAAGATATTATCATATTATGGGGAACATACAGTGTAATACTGATCGATTTACCTGTATACTTAACGTACTTGTATTTAGTTTAAACATATTTTCAAGATGAATTGTGAAGCTATGTGATAAAAATCACTTATAAATCCGCTTCAAGGAATTTAGCAGTAATCGTGACACATGGTTGTTACTTTAGTAGTGCTTGAACCCACGATATCTTGGTTGAGAGGCGTTTATTTTTACCACAAGGTCATTGTTCCATTTGGTGATTGAAAATACCAAAGGAAGATAATTCCTGTATAAAACATATGTTAATAAATACGTGTTTGTCTTTCATAACAATTATAATCAAACATTACGTCAATTTAAAACAAAGTAGCTACTTTAATTGTTTCTGGATATGAATGCTTAACAAAAGTTGAGATGTGTATTCAGTCGGGTAAGTCGTTCTACTCGGGTTAACGCCTGTGTCTGATAAAGTGCACCAGTCTCAGTCTCTTTCGACATATAACGTCGTTGGGTACTCTATCCCAATTGCAAAAGAAAACGATCAAACGAACAAAAAACAAATAAAACTCCGAACTTGGTTTGAAAATATTTGTAACATTTCAAACATTTGATACAAATGAAAAGGGGGTAAAATAAATTTCAATTTCCCAAATTGCCAAAATTTTTCCAATTTTTGGGATTTTGTTTTATTATAAGGGGTAGCAAAAAGAAAAATTATTGATTCTTTTTAAATTTGATGAAAAAAAAATTTGAGTCGCGTCACGCCCAAACCAAACATAAGGGGTTTTGCCCCCCGCAGGATCCAAAAAAGCCTGGTTTCCGGGCGCAGTCTGATCGGGGATCCTTTGCTGTTCGCTATCAGTTTCTCTATTTAAAAATATGAAAGGGTTTTGGAGCAAAAACAGCATGGATGCTGTTCGACTCCCGGATGGGGAAAGGCGGGTTTCGGGAATCCATGCGGGTCGAAAAACCCATTATGTTTTTGTCTTGACGGGGCCCCTCAAAAAGACGGGAGCCATAAATTTACAGTTTAAACCATGTAACTGTACTTTTGTATTTGTTAATGTAATTAGTTTTCATGTCAGATTCCTCTGTAATTCTTATATTTTACTATCATTATGTTGGATTGAACGCCATGCCCCCTCGGGCCTTTATCTTGATGAACTTGACCTATAAGTGGATTTGCCTGTAGAGCTCATCAAGGTGTGTGCAGCTGTGAGGTTTAAGTTCTGAAGGTGGAAGGACTCACATGTTATGATCAAGGTTTTGTGATAACAGACAGACAAAAAAATGCCCAGCAATCTATTAATTATGGGGCCAGGACATAATAATCACACAGGTGCACCTCTTCTTTTTAGATGGAGGCATAAAGAATCAGACAGATGTAATTTAGTCTACTTTTTTTTCATTTTTACATGCATACATAATGAAAACAAGATTGCATTTGTGATAAGATGCTATGAAATGCCACCGCATTATACAACTCTTTCTATTTCAAAGGTGAATTGCTATATGCCACTTATTGCAGATGCTGTGGTGGCATAAAAATGTTCTTGTTTTTCTATTATATTCAATATCCTTTTATTTCCGAATCTTCATTTTTCCAAACAATTTCATAATTTTGAACAAAAACTGTCGCTGAAGACAGCAGACTTCACTAATTTAATACTGGACACAATTTAGAAAGACAAAACTATGAAAAAGTAAACTTAATTTCTATTCAATTATATTTATTCAAAAAGCTATTGAAAATAAAATGGAAAATTTTAAAAGAAATTTCCGTTCTGTAATGAAAATGACAACAACCAAAAGCCTGAAGTAAATATCTTAGGTAATAAAGATGATCAGAGTAAAAAATAATAAATTAACATTCTAAGATTCATCCTAATTTTCATGAAAATTTTGAAAATGTATTTAAAGGTAAATTATTGTGTAATGAAAAGGAAAGTACATGACACATTACAATCGACACTTAAAATCCACGTAAATTACCAAAAAAGAGGTCTAAATATGCATAAATAGCCCCTACTGCGTTAGCAACGCATTAGACATATGGTGATAAATACTACAAAATACAGTCATTAATTGCACATAAGATATAAATTATCACTTGAATCTTTAATTTGTTTACTTTTCTCAAAGTTTTAGTATGGTTTTTCCAAGTTTAATTTTCTTGAAATAATTTGGGTCATCTGGAGGCATGCAGCTTTAAGTTTAAAGAGGAGATAACACTATCTAAAATCTGGAGTAGATACCTTTAGTAATACAGATAAGAAAATATATACTTTCTAAGTTCAATGTGGAGATAATTTTTGAAGTATACATGCTAGAGTTATGAATCTTTAATTTCATACAGGATGTTGAAGATGATAAGGAAAATATATCTAAAGTTTAAGCTAAATCCATTTAGTAACAAAGAAGTTAGAGTACAACACAACAATTTGTGAGTTAAACTCTATGTTATTCTTGAACTATGGTGCTAGAATTATGAACTTTGACCTAAACCTGTCTGGGTTTTATAAGAAACACATACTCGAACCTGAAGAAATAAAGAGAAAAAATTTAAAGGGAAGATATTCTGAAAATATTGGTGCTAGAGTTATGAATCTTACCAAATATGTTGTGATCATTTATAAGATTATCTCTCAAGAATAAAGAATAACAAGTTATATTTAAAAAATTTTACTGTGCAAAAACTTTATTCAGAAATCTGGACTTGTCAGGGGTGATAGAACTGCTCTCCGTATACATGCAAAGTGGAGCTAAAAATTAAATTATTGTGTTAACTAAGAACTATTTATAAAATTTCAGTACAATACATAAAAAGTATCAAACCTTACCAATTTAATTTTAAAATACAATCCCTAAAGGGACATTAATAATTTTGCAAAATGAAAAGCCAATGCTGTATTGTCTCCCTTCTTTTCCATCACTACCAGAAAATTGTCCCTGCTTTAAATAAGTCTAGTTAGACAAATAAATTTCCCAGCTTACATTAATTTTGCTGTGTACTTATTTTTTTTAATTAAAATGAGTTTGACAGCAAATATTTCATTATTCTCAAAGAGGTGAGGGGGTGGATGGACCCACATCACTGAGGGCCAGAAACACGAGAATCTTTGTAACATCAATTAATTAAAAAATAATTACTTTCCAGATACTTTTCATAACCAAAATCAAATAATTATTAATTCAAATACATTTTTCAAAGTTTATACCTATTGTATAATATTAATACAGACTTATCATTAATTATTAATACAGACAATCTTTGCATGTGTTTGTATTTTTCCAACAAATTGCCAGAAAATAAAATAATTCAAGTCATGGGAGTTCTTACACAATGGCTAAACTGTTTTAATTTATTTGCTCCAGCAAAATATTCTACCTTTTAGAAAAAGTGTCAATCATAACAAATGAATTAAACATTCTATACGTACAATACTATAGTTGTGAACAAAATATAAAAATAGATAGTCCCATAAATTTGTATACATGTGCAAGCTTACTTCCTTCTAAAAAAAATAAATAAATCTATATAAAGCAGTTGACAAAATTAATGTAAATTATAAACAATTGTATATTTCTATAAAACAATAAGTGATTATCACAGTTATAACATAGACAATGCAACATTAGAACAAATACAAACAAGGCATTTTACAAAATAAATATCTTTTTTTTTCTTTTTTTTTTTAATATGATTTTATAATATCATGACAATAATACTAAAACATTCCCTGTACATCCTGTCCCTTTAAGTGCTTTATCAACATTTACCAACTAGTGTAATGGACGTAATATATAGTAGTCTGTTAAAAAATTATCTTTGCTTTCCACCATTTTAGAACCATTAAGTCAGCCGGCACATTTGTGCAGTCTCAGCCAGACCAAGCTCCATACTGTTGGCGGCCTTTTTTGTATTTATATACTGAAACCTCTATAACATTGAATGTGTAGTGAACAAAACTAGATTGGTTATTCAATTTTATCATTTTGATGTTGATATCCCTAAACATACAATGGACAGTTCCAAATTCAAAGCAGGGAGAGTCCATTACACAAAATCAACAAGGTAAAGGTTGAGCAGGATAGAGACTGAGGTTAATGCCACTATTCTTAATTTAATACTTAATAGGATCAAATTAACTTTACTTACAGGAATGGCAAAAACTAATTTCGATTTACTAGCCCATTTTATCTGAAGCATTTCTTTACTTGTCTGCATTATATTTTCAAAGTGAAGTCTGAAAAATTACATTTGTCTGTACAGGCTGAGGAACAACCTCGGCAATACAGACAATTGATTTTTGCCATCCCTGATACATATGATGAATAGGACTGAAAATGGATTTTGATTACCAGTTATAAATCTGTACAAGTTTACTCTAACAACAAAATAATCAATCAATGCAAAAAGATAAATATATTAGTCTAAAATGCATAATTTGTGTACTTCCCACTATTAAATACATTTTTCACATCTAACAATATTTTAAATAAGTTTAATGCAATAGTTCATCAATTCTGTCACTTCATTTTACGTGAATATAAAAAATGAAGAAATAAAGATGTATAACATTCTATTGAAAAGATGTATATTATAGAAAAAAAACAAAAAAAAAACATATTTTTCTTCTTTTTCAGTTTTGACTAAATTATATTGCGAAATTTCCATTTACATCACTCAATTTCATCAACTAAAGAAATACAAGGACACAATCTGTGCAATCAAGATCAATAAATGAATACTGAACATTAATAATAGCTCTGGCATCCAGGCTAATTTGATCCTATATTCTGCATCATTTTTCATAATATCCGGTACCAGTCCCATAACAAAGGGCAGTAACTCTACACTTGTCTCACCTCTTATGCATCTTTCATATTCTACCAATTGCCTCCAAAATCCAAAGTTTGGGAAAATACATGGTCGTTTATTAAACACATGATAATATGCCTTCCGCAGCGACATACGCTTGTATTTTACTAAATAGGCTATGCATACACTTGCTGAGCGACTTACACCAGCAACACAGTGGACTAAGATACGACCGTCATTTTGGCAAATGTCTTGTATATGATCAACACAATCATCTAGAAACTTCAGTAAGTCTTGCTCTGGTGAGTCTCTCATTAAAATATGTCTGACTTGTAAATCTAACTCAGGATATCTGAAGTCTTCTAGTTCTTCTGCAGTGTTCAAAACATGTGTTATACCTGGAATGAAAAATTAACACATCAAATTCATATAAATAACTATACAAGAGCGATCAGTGATCACATGTGTCGCCTCATGATGGCCAATTTCATGTTCGGACAAGTTTTGTGACAGACGGACAGTGCACAACTAGACATGTTACTGATCATTCCTGTAAAGTTTGGATAAAATTGCAACAGTAGTTTATGAGGAGTAGTCCGGACAAGCTTTTGTATATCTGGCAACACAAAGAAAAAACACCTTCTTATCAAAGGGCCATAACTCGGCCAAAAATCATTCAACCGGAAAACCTGTGCAATATGCCCAAGGACTTGAGCTACAGACCAATCCTGTAAAGTTTCATTGAAATTGCATTTGTGGTATAAGAGAAGTAGTCCGGACAAACTTTAAAAATAAAAATTATTAAAGGGCCATAACTCTGACAAAAATTATTGAACCGGAAAATGCTAACAATATGCACAACTAGACTTGGTACTGATCATTCCTGTAAAGTTTGGATGAAATTGCACCAGTAGTTTATGAGGAGTAGTCCGGACAAGCTTTTGTGTATATGGCAACACACAGAAAAAAACACCTTTTTATCAAAGGGCCATAACTCGGCCAAAAATCATTCAACCGGAAAACCCATGCAATATGCGCAAGGACTTGAGCTACAGATCAATCCTGTAAAGTTTCATTGAAATTGCATAAGTGGTATAAGAGAAGTAGTCCGGACAAACTTTAAAAATTATTAAAGGGCCATAACTCTGACAAAAATCATTGAATCGGAAAATGCTAACAATATGCATAACTAGACTTGGTACTGATCATTCCTGTAAAGTTTGGATGAAATTGCACCAGTAGTTTATGAGGAGTAGTCCGGACAAGTTTTGTGACAGACGGACAGACAGACGACGGAGAAGTGATCATTATATGTCGCCACTACTCCGTAGAGGCGACACAAAAACAACAAAACTTGGCTGTACTAGAATATAAAATCACAGCTTTAATTAATTCAGTTAATTAATTCAATGAATTAGTTTAATTAATATAATTAAAGGTGTGATAAAACATGTATACACACTTTTAGTAACACATTTTTTATCTTCTAAATAATGTCCGAACTAAAATTACTCTCAAATTTTATTTTATTTGTACAAAGGATAGCAGGGTATATAATTAGCTGCTTTTATCCACTTGTCTGTCTGTGTACTGTTGAGTAATTTTAGCTAAAGAGACTTCAGTGAACAGGTTTTATAGTACTGCTAGACCTCACAATGTCAAAATAAAAGCGACATTTAAAGTTATGGAAGCCAGGGCTAAGTAAGTTTGGTGGAATATACGTTGCAATAATTAAATAAGTATGGTACAAATCAGTACATTAAATAAGACTGTCAAAAAGACATCAAATATACATTTTGAAATGCAATGCCTTTATTTGTTTAACAGTAGGAAATACTGTCAGTAAAATTGGTCGGACCTTTGGCGCCAAATAAATAAGGCTAGATTATAACTGACAAAAAGCAAGTGTTATTCAAAAATGGAATATATATGTAGGGTAATTATTACACTTTTTAGTATAAAGGACTAAAGGTAAAAATTACAAAATTATATAAATTTTACTTTTCTTTGTTTCTAAATTATCAAATGAACAAAATTGTTTTAATCGAGAAAATTATTTGCATTCAAATGTAAATTTAATATCTATTAGGTTATTAACTTCTTTGCCATGAAAAAGCAATATTGGTGAGTGAATGTTGAAAGAATCATTCTACCTCTATTTTGTAAATTTTCTGTATTTAAACAGCCAACTCCACACAGGAAAAGGTTGTCAGTAATGCTGGCTATTGGACTTCTAAATGCCTTCATATTTGTAAGAATCAAATCCACTTCATATGATACATATATCTATAAAAAAAGATAAAATCTATCAAATTAATACATGATAATTGACTGAATATCAAAATAAATATTTGAAAAGAGAATACCAGTAAACATAAATGCTCAGTTCCTATGATATGACGGGTTCTTTGATATCACAGTATTTACATATTCTGTGACTGCAAGTGGAAACAACAAATGATACTTATCTACTGTGACACTAAATCGCATCTACATCAGTACATGTATAGCGTCTGCCTATAAATTTAATTTGTGAATAATGAATACATTCCTTGTAAGAAAACTATTTTACAAAATCTTCATATTTGACCATTTTTTCCCTTAATTGTTTTTACACAGTCAAAAGAAATATGTCATAATCCAATATTCTGGCATATTGACAGTTCATAACATGATAAACATGTAGCTTGAATTTTATTTTTCGTTTGTAAGCAAGCTGTTGTCGGAAGATATTCACAACTTAATTTGAAGATTATGACACATCTTGCATTTTTGGAATTACCATGATACTGTTGTACCCTCATCTGAAATCACCCAAATTGGCAGACAATAGAAATAGTTTCAAAACTGACATTTAAATTGGATGTTCAGAAATAAATTTTTGACAGACAAGAGCTAGGGTCTTGGAAAAGGATCACGTATTTTTATATTTCATGTTTTCTGTTAAACGTTAAGTACTTAGATACCATAGAACCCCGTAAAACAAATTTGAACGTTTAATTAAAAGACTAAATCGCGAAATATAATGACATTCAAATATATACTTACCTGCGAGTTTCTACCAGTGGCAACGCTTTTTGAAAACCTTGGCCTTTTCTCTTTTATCGGAATTGATAAGATATTCCATATAGGGCACCCTATTTATACAAAACTGACTGGTAAAGTGCTAGAAGTATGTGACTCATTTAATTTAAAATTTGGAGCCAACCTGTCAAAATTGACATAACATCAACATCCGGTGTGTACGGGTCAGATTAATGTATTCATTTCCCTTATTGCCATTATGAGGTCAGACCAGCGTATTGATTTTTACATATGCCTATATTATTACAAATTGTCCCTTATCCTATATTAAAATTTAGTTTACGTGCTAAAGGAGAATGATATGCCAGACACACAAAAGTGATCTTGTTATTTAGGAGTAGCCAAACATTTTTTGCAAAATGATTTCAAATAGGATTTACTCCCCCCTCTCCCCATTTTTATTGATTTTTTTTTTTCTGATCACAGGGCTGACAATGTAATGTTAGTTTTTAAATTAGTGTTTATACTTAAAAATATGCCATCTCAATCAAATTCCTCGATCATGTCCCATTAAATCCATGGTCTTTCAATTCCTGCACTTTTTTGCAACCAATAGCTGGTCATGTGTTACAGGACGTTAAATAGTCTGACATTGAGGTATGGTCCTTAAACCTACTTTCATACTTGAAATATGATAACGAAATTTACGACACATAAAAAGAAGATCTTTTTACTTCAATCAAGGGACTGATCTATACTTTTAAAGATGTATACATATTCAAGTAAAAAATATCCTAGAGAGATTTTCAAAATAAAATTTGATTATTTTAGCAGCATGACTCCAGATTGATGCAAATTTTCATGAAAATTTTGAAAATGTATATGAAAGTAAACTATTGTAAAGTGAACAAAGAAAGTAATTTATACATTGAAGATGTTGAAATATATGCAAAATTGTTAATTGGTCGGGAGAAAATGGTTGCATTACGTAATATTAGCTGTATAGTCTCAACTTTGGATAGACAAACCATTGAAATAAGATGAAAAAAGTTCGCTCTTTGAAAATTTGGTCCTTATAGCGGGCTGGTCGTGAAAATGGAGTGATCGTAAGGTGTGGCTCTATTGTATGCTAAAACAGCTCTTAATGCGTTAGTCACGCACTAGTAATATGGTGATAAATACAGCGAAATCATTCATTAATGGCACATATATAACATATATTTTATTACTTGAATCTTGAATCTTTTTACTTTTCTTAAAGTCTTATTTTTCTTAAGTTTAAAATATTTTCGTGAAATATTTGACTCATCTTGAGACACACAACAACAAAGATAAAACTGTATAGATGACTGTCTATTATTATCAGTCTAACAGCGCATAAGTTTAGCTAGTATTTGGAATGTATTCAATATAATGCTTTATACGTTTCGATTAGTATTGGTCCTTTTTAAATAAAATGTTCTAAAAATTTTGTACTGTCTGTAGAACGAATCTCCTAAAATTCATCACGTTAATATTTTGGCGACACAAAATGTGCCAGGATCTGTTCATTATAGGAAATGTTGATGTTAGAAGACCTTTCACCGTCAGAACATATGATCAAGTATGAAACTAAACCTAACAAGGTCATGAAGCATTGTCTTAAAAATAAAAAAATGTAAAGAATAGGTTCCGCTTCGGAACCAGTCCAAGCAATTAGAGATGCTGTACTTTTTATTAAATGTATACAATATGAAGACTTTATTAAACCGAGTCGGTAATTTTCAGCTTATTGTTTGTTTGGATGGTTGTTTATTTGATTGTTTATTTGTTTGTGTGCAACGTTTTTTTTTCATATAAAATAAAAAGTGGGATGATTCCACTCAATCTATATTTCTTATTTCAGGTACTGCTGTAATTCATTTTCTATAAATGGGCCGTTATAATTGCCTATGTTTACAGCTTAAAGACCCAAAAATTCCCTCGAAATGCTTATATTCTTATTTTTTAGTATCCTGTTATAGTTTCCAAAATGTTACCTACTGTCCAATTATTATTCCCTTAACAGTTTTAACGTTTGTTCCTTTTGGAAATTAGTGCAGATAATACCATAGTGATTTAGTTTTTCTGTTGTTGTTGTGTTTTTTTGTTTTTTTGTTCTTGTTGTTTTTTGTTTATATTAAAAACTACTTTGTTTACATTTTGCTCCATTTTTGACACCATCTTGGCATTATGAAGTTTTAGAGGTATACAAAAATCTGGAAACAAAGTGATCCCTCGAAACCATTAATCACAACAAAATTACATAAGAATTGCAGACTATTTAAAGTAACTAGTAACAAAGGACCGAAAAACTTTGTATTCGGAATAATTAAATCAAAGTGCTGAAGGCACTGCAGTTGGGACGTATGAAGGATCAAATAACTATTTTTTCTATTTCGGGGCAGATAATTCAATGAGTGAAGGGTGTTGCCGGTTGATAAATATAAAGTGCACAATTCAGTAAATGAACAGTAGTTGATACAATTATTCTATGACACACATGTTCAAATATAATATTTAGGTTACATGTACGTGTAGGTCGATCATAAACCGTTATTGGCCTTTTTTGACAAGAAAAACAAGTGAAATTAGAGCTACCAGAGGAAACTGCAAGCTTGACTATTTTAACACATGACATTATAAAGGGAGACAAAGCTATGAAAAAATAATCAATTGTGATATATATCAAATTTTCTGTATCAGTATCTAGGGATTAAACAATGATCGAGTATAATCGATAATTGATCGTTTATAGGACCGATTAGCGATGATCAAATACAAAGTTCAATAATCGATCATCGGTTATTTATCTTCTTGCTGTTACTTAAGTGACTCACTGTATTATAACAACACTTTAAATTAAAGCCAGCTTTGGTTAACCCAATAATTTTCATTAAAATGAATGAGAAAGCATACTGGTGACCATGAGGTTAATAGTTGACAGTGAGGCATTCTAGTTTACAGACATACTATGCTCAAATTTGAAATTAGAAAATTGCTACACAGTCTATTTGTAAATATGAAATAAACATGTTTTGACTTCAAACAAAGAAGATATGTATATAATTATTCTACACACTAACTAAAGATGGTTACAATATAAATATATAGTGTCATTAAAAAAACCTGGCATTTTTATTAATGACCAACTTCTCTTGTTCCCATACATAGCTTATCCATTCCTTTATTGGAATTGAGACATAATAATTTCATAGATATAATGAATTTAATTGATTAAAATATTTTACTCAAGGATGGAAATAAGCATGACTATCTAGTTTATTTCAGTTGATTAAGTGGTAGTTACACAAAATATAGAATATTAATGGAATTCTTATAAATATCAAAGCATGATATGTGCATTGTACATATTTACTTTGTTATCATAAATGTTTCGATTATATAATCGATGATTGATTGAAAAAGGTTGTTCGATTATTTTCGATGATCGATTATGATTTTTGTCTGATTAAGAAACCCTATCAGTATCAAGTAAACAGTCAAATGGTCAATATTTTTTGCATCACATTATATGAATGTGACCATGTCATTAGAACTTATAATGGCCTTTGTTTACTGCAATTCTCATGCTAATCTCTTTCACTGTATAACGTTTATAAAGTTTCAATCAAATTCCTTCAATATTTTAATCCTCTCTCAGAACAGTATCATGAAATATATACGGAGATAATTCAAAAACTAAGTAATGTAGAATTTTGGTTATTTGACACAAGACTTCTGCTCACTAGTCTCTACAACTGTATTTAGTTTGAGTGTGATATCATTGAAAAGATTTACTCCAGACAACCATTATTTTAAAAGTTGTTGTACATGTATTTTAAGAGATGATAATTGTAAAATTAAGCTAGAAACTAGAACTCCGCGAGTCGGATGTGTCGCCTTGTGAACAATGTAGTTTAGGAGAAATGGCCAGGACAAAAATGAAATATGAAAAATAACAAAGGGCAATAACTAAAAAAAATAATAATTTCAGAGCAGCAGTTTCTGAACACTGCACTTCTTATCAATAAGATCTATCATACTATGATGGTTTCAAGTCCATAGCTTTCATACTTGAGGAGAAATGACCAGGACAAAAATAAAGAAAGAAAATCAACAAAGGGCAATAACTCAAAAAATAAGAAATGCAGAGTACCAGTTCTTGTGCACTGCACTTCTTCTTAATGAGATCTATCATCCTATGAAGTTTCAAGTCCATAGCTTTTATACTTAACGAGAAATGGCCCGGACAAAATTAAAGTATGAAAATAAACAAAGGGCAATAACTCAAAAAATAAGAAATGCAGAGTAACAGTTCTTGTGCACTGCACTTCTTCTTAATGAGACCTATCATTCTATGAAGTTTCAAGTCCATGGCTTTTATTCATTATGAGAAATGGCCCAGACAAAAATAAAATATGAAAATTAACAAAGGGCAATAACTCAAAAATTAGGAAGTACAGAGTACTGGTTCTTGTGCACTGCACTTTTTCTTAATGAGATCTATCCTCCTATGAAGTATCAAGTCCATAGCTTTTTTAGTTGAAGAGAAATGGCCCGGACAAAATTAAAGTATGAAAATTAACAAAGGGCAATAACTCAAAAAATAAGAACTGCAGAGTACCGGTCCTTGTGCACTGCACTTCGGGTTATTAAAAGAAGCATGCATACCAAGTTTGAAGTCAATCAGACTTATAGTGACTGAGTTATGCTTTGGACAAGCTTTAGGGGACGCCGACAACGACAATTTTTAAAGGTGACAGCCAAAGGAACATTCTTGTGAAGTTTGGATGAAATTAGCGTAGTGGTTTATGAGGAGATGTCATTTAAAGTAAAAGTTTACGGCCGGACGAAAAGGGATCACAAAAGCTTGACCTGTCACTTTGTGACAGGTGAGCTAAAAACTAAGGAATGGAGTTATGGTTCTTTGACACATTGGAAAATTCGAGTCGTTCAAGTTGATGTAGATTCAGTGATAGTTTGGAATAAGCATTTTTAACTTAAGGGATATAATTAAAACATGAAGCAAGGTAGAGTTATGTTTCTTGAACATTGCACTTCCTCTTAAAAGTCTCTATCACTTTGTGAAGTTTACATAAAATCCCTTCAATACATATTTAGTTATATTCATATTTCGGACAAGAGTGTGAAGGACAAATGTCTTCCTAAGTACAGACTATGTTTTTTTTCCTTTATCAACTAAAATCTCAAAAACACCATTAAAAACATATTTTCCTCCATGAGCAACCCTTTTTCCCAAAAGTACAAGTCTGTATGGAATGAACACAGATATTTATCCATAATATTACTTGAGTCCATACCGACAGATGGTTAAGACCGCAACTATATTCTCTCCCTTTCAGGAGCATAAATTATAATAACATGCTAAATCTTTGTATAGTTCTATATCAGATACCAGTAT